AGTGACCTACTAATGGGCTTTGGGTCTCCACTCCGCACTCCCCCATCATTCACTATGGTAAGATTTTTTGTTCTGATGATGCCTTATACCTGATCACTTCGACACCTCGTGATCACACAGGCTGATGTGTTCTTCCATATGGGCTTTGTTGCTTTTAAGCTAGATGGCCGCTTATTTACCTTCAAGCACCCTCACCTCAATGCAAGAATACTTTGTTCTATTAAATTGGCATTCTATGATGCTCACCTTCCCGACACAACCGCTGAAGACAAAGCGGGTGAATAAGCAAAAGTGGTGAAGTAAGCTGATGGTGCCTGGCTATCAATGGATATAGCGTCTGGGGTCATAAAACTCTTTCTTATACACATGAGTGTCTCTGAATTTGTTTCTCTAGTCAACGCAGACTAACACAAACTATTATTGAGTCTATTTAAAAAATGATTTTTGTGAGACTGATACATGACAGGGCTGCTTAGCTACCTGTTGGTGTACATATGTATAAGGACAAGAAGAGTGATAATCCTTATTTCCCAGAATTTTAATATTCCTGAGACATAGAGTCTTGAGTCTTTGATTCAAGGTGATAAGATTGTGTCCATCCATGGTCTTCATAAGATTGCCTTTCTTAATTATCTTTACCATCCTGACATCAAAACTGCAATAGCACCTTAACATTGACTCCTGAGATAATCTGTTGTTTAAGAATAATTTTTCTAAGTGTCAATGCTGATTAGATCATCAGGAAATTTCATCAAATTCTCTTTATGAATTTTTTTATCTCGGCAACTCAGGCCATACAATGAGTTCATAATTTCTATCATAATAAGGGTTGGATGTTGTCAACCTCAGAAACCCAAACTCATTTAGCTGCAGATGTTTCTTATCCTTTGGGATACAGTAATAGCTTTCCATTTAAAGATCTAAGTTCTAGGAATGCATTAAGATTGGAAATAAAATTGTCTTTCAAGAATATTATTAGCTCAGTCAAAGATGCATGAAGATAACCACTGTTTCTCATTCATAAACAGCACTATTGACCTGTTTTATAAAGTGAAACCATGAAGTATAACATACTCCCTTAGAATTACTGAAAATTTCTCAGTGTTTTTCAAAGAGTACCCCTGGGGAACTATGCAGTGTTCTTCTCAAATTTCATTTTAGTTGAAGGACATTTAATCCCTGGTTTGTGAAGTAGCGAACCAGAGGCTTTTGTTTATGCCCTTTGTGACTTCAAACCAAACTGATCAGTATATGTCAAAACACTCATGGCCTTCATACAAGTATTGTGCAGGAACATATTTGTCTCTGGGACTTCTTGCACCATCTGTGTAATACAACCAAAAGCTGTTCTTGGCAGTTAGTTGTACTTGAAACTCTGCCTCATTATCTAATTTCCCTTAAAGTCCTTCCCTATTGAGGGTTCTAAACCTTAGATCAGTTATCATTAGTCTCCACTTACACCAACATAATTTAGATATAATCAATCAAGGCTTCCAGACAACTCATCTCCAAATCTATTTTTCCCCACAAAGAAATGGTCTAAGACACTCACTGTACCTAAGATACGATTCTGCATGTGAGATCAATGGTCTTATCAGTTAAGGAACTGGGGGGGATGCTGAAATCACAAGTTCCATAAAGTGGCTATCTGCTCTAACTAAGAGCATATTTTTGAGCCTTTGACAAGCATTTGGCGGCCAGTTCTGGGAGGTATAAGAAGCAAATACAATGATCCTGATGTTATTACCCTTTCTACCTGCTTCTGTGTAGAAATTGTGATTTTTAAAAATAACTTTTTATGTTCTATGCCCCAAAATTCTGGCTCTTTTTAAATCCAAACACTCAGAAAAGTAAATTGATAGCCCTAATGATTTGTCATCATTAAATTGTCAACATCTGAAATTTTGGCCATAAAAAGATCTGTGGTGGTAAACCCTCTCTCCAGGAAAAAAAATAGAAAATCTTGGTCTGCAGAGTTTGCTAATTTTTGTGTTGTACCTAAAACCACCATGGACAGTTTCAAGCTACCAATGTGAAGTCAACCTGCTTGCAAAATTCCTGAAAATCTAATAAAAATTAGAGTACATTGATGGGTACAAGTTAATTCTAACACACTACTGAGATAGATTATGTTTTAACCACGCTAAGAATTTTAGGGTTTTTTCGGTGTGTTTGGGTCTGTTTAATTTATAAA